AAAGGTTTCTTTTTTCATTTTAACACAAAAGTCTTAACGTCTGAGAAAAAGATAGGACTTCTCCTAAATGATCATTTGGCTCTACCTTTATTTCTATAATTCATTGATAATCGTCAATTAATAATTTTCTAGGCCAGGCGTTTAATTTATTAACGTTCATTTGAATTGAAAAGACGCAGAGTACATTATACTGCGTTTTTGCGCTGTATTACTAAACATCGTTTTTACAGAATGAATCGTTTTGCTCATTACTCTCCCCAACGAGCAGAAGAGTGAGATGTAAGAATATTTCAAAATTAATTCGTCCACTGGTTTGGCGCGAATGTTTTCTTGAAAGAGCGCTAGAAAAACACGCGGCGGCTGTGACAGGGGCCAGGCGACTCTCCCGGCCAGCGGAGAAGGTTAAAGCCGCGAGTTCAGCGTTTTGTGCTGAAACCCCGGGGGAAGACTGGGTCGACAAAACCGCTAGAATACCGGGTCTCTCCCCCTGTGAAAGAAACATTCATTTCCTTGTGACCGGTTTAAAGCTGGATAATACGATACCCGTTTGTGAGTAAAATGCTACTGCTCCTGGGAAGGGCAGGAACAATCGCTACCAGCACAGACGAGAATTTCGGTCCCTAGCGTCCCCATGTAGTTTCACAGAAATTCCTACATTTTAATCCCATATTCTACGGCCCAAAGGGACAGTGATTCGTCCAATATACATATATACACACACAGTACACAAGGGTCTTTACTAGTTTCTACACCTATCTTTGATGTACAATAGTCCTCTAAAGGTATCTGTATGATAGACCTCCAACCATTTATATATAATGATCAAATACATTAGAACCTCATTCTAGACAAATTAAGGACCACATTTAATAGGTGTATGTTCAACATCTTCCCCCCCCAATAGAAAAAGAGCCCTAAAATCCTCTCTCCAAGGATACGTTGCAGGAGCACTTGTGCTATCTCCTCTAGTAGAACTCTCCTCCAGGCAAGCTTGAAAGGGCAGCTATTGTTCCCCCCTGATTTGATGTCCCTGCTCTTCTGCCATTGAGCAGATACTAAGGAACAAGCCTGAGACTCCCACAGGAACCTGAACAGCTGGTGTTCTTCCAAACAGCAGGAGGAGTCTGCTGGAGGAGCTGTAAGAAGAGTGGCCATAGCCTCAGACAGCACAGCATTCATACCCAACCCATACAGATCCCCCCTCCAGCACAGCAAGAAGCAGCTCATGACAAGAGACCCTTTGCAACCAGTTTATTGCTCATTCACATCAAGTCAGTTCATGGGTTTGTGTTGCTTCCTCCTG